TAAAGCACCGGAGACCGAACCAAACCTAAAACGAAAAGCCCAGGCGCCATGTGCTTCGGGCGAGGGCCCAGGTTAAACCAAGTGACCGAACCAACGTTTTAGGTCTGGTTCGGTCTCCAGTGCTTTAGTTGGTTCAATCGAACTAACTAAAGCACCGATATAAGCCTTCCTCTCGCGACTTCCTAACCCTAACTCTACTCGCCGCTCCCACTACCGCTGCTCGCTGCTACCGCTGCTATCACTACCACTGTCGCTGCTCGTCGCTCCTGCTAGTACTATCGCCACTCCCACTGTCGCCACTCCCACTCCCACTGCCACTGTCGTCACTCGCCACTCCTGCTGCGCTGCTCACTGCTACCACTGTCGTCGCTCGCCATTCTCGCTGTCGCTGCTCGTTGCTACCGTTGTCTTTGCTTGCTGCTACCGCTGCCGCTGCCATTGTCCTCGCTCGCCGCTCCCGCTGTCGCTTCTCTCAGTCAGCAACCTCAATCTTCCGTTTACACTCTTCTCACTTCGATAGTATACTGTTAACATTATATTAATAGTATACTACTAATTGTATACTAATAATAATATTTTTATTTATTAGATTAATAATATATTATTTTGATTTTAATATTGTTAATTTTTATTTATTTGAAATTATTATTATTGTTTTGAATTTTGAGACTTTTTGTTAATGTGATATTGTGATTTTACAAGATTTTCTTAATTTAATATTATATTTTTATTTGAATAATTATATTAATTAATTATATTATATATTTTTATATTTTTAACGTCTTGCTTCGCTCGGGCAAGCGTCTCCCCTCGGGCGTTTTTAGACCTTGACACCTAACGCTTTTTAAATCACTGCATTAGACTGGAATGAAAGTTGCCTATTGACTAATTAGAGAATAAAAAATGTTACTTAACATTCAGGTTTTCTTCTAATATGTAAAAGAAACTGTAAGAATCTTACAGGATTGGGCAGGTAGGTTCCGGTACCACCACGATATCTTGGTGCTTCATCTGCATGATGCTTGAAGACACCAGAGGCCTGATCAGGACCAGGTTGGAGAGGAATCACAGGCACAAGTCGAGGACCATGCCCCATGATCTGTGTATAGTTCAGATTAGATGCAAGGGGTCTGCCAGAACCATCCCACGGAAAATGACTGACAGGATAAATTGGTGGCCCTACAACAGGGGAAGGATACACGAAAGGTTCATGATAGGAATTTTGGCAGAACCGTCCATATACCAGATTTTGCCAATGGCCGTTTAGATCACTGTTCAGAATGTCAGAACTAGTCTCTGCAGAGGATTCAGGTCCAGAATCTCTTGAAACAGTTGGGCTCATCAAAGCCTCGGACAGGTTGAGACTCTCCACTGAATCAATGTTCTGACAAGAAGAGCTTGATAGAAACTGATCTGATTCTTCCTCTTTATCAAATTGCCTTGCATATCCATCAGGATTTCCTGTATTAGATGTAAAATTACCAAAAGGAAACACTAAGTATGGAACTGGAGGACCTGTAGCAACAAATGCCATAGGAAGAATCTTAGAATAATCCACACCCGTTTGCTGGGAAGTGCCGACAAGCACTGGTGAATATGGAATAAATGGATCTGATTGAAATTGTGCCGATTCAGAGTCGGGTAGATGCTCACTTCTTGCATGTGAGGAAGCCAACGATGCAGATTCTACAGTTTTTTCAGATGTATCATTTCCCATGGCCGACAAAGATATCCAGCCTGAAGTGTTATCATCTAGTTTTAAAGAAACATTGTCAGATGAACCCTCAAATTGCAACCCACTGTTTTCTTTTCCATAATAAGAAGCTGAAACTGAAGGAGAGGCTGGTTTTCTCCCCCACCTGTCCCTTGCTGGCTTTGAAATGTTTGCAGCTGATACATCCCTCAGATTTTCTGATGCAGGTTTGTTTCTGGAAGAACTTGCCTGTGACAGAGAGAACCTTGAGTTTGAACTCCTGAAATTAGAGTGAATATCACCTCCTCTACTTGTTTTAGCTTGAAACGAGCCATTATAATCTTCCCTTATCAAACTCCTGCTTTCTTTACCCAACTTATTCTGTCCTCATGGTAAAGAACCAGACCTAGTGCTTCTTGCTCCATGACTTGAGGTTAAACCACCTTCTAATTTGTGTTGCTTGTCATCAAGATGAAGAATCTGAGTACCACTATCACTAGGATTAAGACCTCTGGAAGATACAACATCATCTTCATGTAAGCTGCCATGATCATTATCCTCTGTGTTGAGTTGCATCACAGAAAAACCATCATTAAAAGACTCATTAACATCTTTAAAGTTTGAATAGGAAAGAGGAAAAGAAACAAGACTTTGAGCAAACTGCATATTGGGTCCCCAGGGAGGCCCGATAAAGGATATATTAGATGGTACAGCTCCAGCCAAATTTCTCTTGAAATAACCCATTGGAGTTGGAAATGTCAAAGGCAGATGAAGAGGAGCTAGATGCATCGGAAATTGAACCAGTCCATTGAGACCATGAATGTTGGAAGATCCCATCATATTCACCAAATCCTGTTCTTCCTGCTGCATCTCCAATGTCTCTGAAACAGAAGCAAGTTCCTCCCCAGTAAAACCAAAATCACCCTGATGGCTATTTGAAACACTGTTTGCATCAGAAGCAACATCAATGTTCTTTTGGGACGAAGTCTGCCTCGTTGATTTATAATCATCAAGAGAAGACTTTGAACTGTGACTTCCCATAACTTCAGAACCCAAGTTCCATCGTCTGATACCGGAATCAAACTTTGCAGGATTTTGGAACTTTGCTGTTTCTATTGCTCTGCCATGACTTCCTTGAGACAAATCAAAGGATGTCTCTGTCAGCTCAGGACTAGATCTTGTCCTTGCAAACTGAAATCTACCCTGTTCTTTCCGGTCATATGCAGAGTAATTAGGTTTAAAATTTTTCTGATTTTTGTTACTATGATCAGATCCACCACTTCTCTCCAGCTGATCAGTGAATCTCAAGTTGATTTGCTTTTCGTTATTTATCTGGTTCTCAACATGAGAAAGTGCAGATACTTTGTTTGACCTATATACATTCTGGTCATTGCCTACCATTTCAGAGGTAGAATTATGAAAACCATGACCAGTTTCAGCCAGGTGCTCCTTGATAACCTCCAATACACCATTTTCAAACTTCTTTTCGACACTTGTGCATTTTGAGTTGTTTGATTCTTCAACTGGAACAGTTTTCAGAGGTGGCAAGTGCCGTAAATCTAAGCTAAGAACATCAGGACGATCGCCACTCCCATGTCTTTTCCACGTGTTCATAAAGAATTGATTGACTTCAGCAATTATGTCATCTTTTGGACATTCAATCAGCCTGGCCAATCTTTTGGCCCCAAATGCAAAAGCACTACGTATCCTGAAAAAATTGCCTAACAAAGAGAGTTTGTTTCAATTAGAGAGCATCAATAACACCAATACCTCCCTGGCCTCCACAATACACACACACACGAACTCAAAACGGAGGCAAATAAAGAATTCTATGCACAGATACTATGCATAGCGATATAAAAATTTTATATGACCAAAGTTGTATTTCATGCATCCACATGATAGACCGAGGAAAGACAAGTTATTGACTTTTCCAACTTCTAAAGCAAAACACAACAGATGTGCATATATTACAAAATCACAAACAACACTAGGTTGAATGATGGAATATTGATGGTTAAACCAAGAAATAAGGACAAAATATGTATGTATATATGTGTATCTAAGTTCATTTTGGGGAGTCTAAAGTACAACAGCAATGTTCGTATAAAATATAAAAGTCCATTAAATTCATACGACTGAATGTGTACAAAGACTCATATCTGCAGGAATGCCGAATCCTGTATCCACTGACATGCATTATGGTTAACCAACAGTTACAAGTAACAAAAACTCGAGCTTTCTTGCTTAAACCTTCACCGGACATAAACGCATGGATGTGTTTTGATGACAAGTTGCATAAATGCATGTCAGCTTCTGTATAACCAGATAGCTGAATGACATGTCAACATACCATGTGGTCACATCCTCTTTCAGATGGTATGCAATGAGTTGCAACAATACAATAATTTTGATAAAAACTGATTGAAACGAAAATAGGAATCAGTTAAAACCCATCAGGTTTCAACTGGGATCGGTCAAGAAACTGAAGAAGCCCAAGAAAAGCCTCCCAAAACCATATCACTACCTTTCCATTAACCCTTTGTCCTGTTCTTCTGTTCTACCTCCCTCGCACAGCCACAACTACAAAATCAGGTCAGCCATGGGTTTCACTAGATAATCTAAAAGAAACAAAGATTCAAATGGATAACTATCATCCTATAGATGTTAAAAAAAAATATTAACCCATAGAAATTTTGTTAGAAAAAGTTTCAGAAAAAACTCAATCATAACATTATTAAAAAAATCCAAATATGCTAAATTGAAAACTAAAAATGAAACTCAACTCAAAACCAGAACAACCTTTGAACATCATAAACCACTTTTGGCAATTTGTTCCACACCAAAAAAAAATCCTGAATAGAGAGTAACAATAAGGAATATGAGAACATAGTCAACCAAACTTTAAAAAGTGTTATATTAAGACTAATCAAATTTAATTAATTAATCAGGAATACTCAACATGAGGACAAGATCAGTGAGAACAAGTTATCAGATAAAATAGCTACTCCCAATTGGAAAACTAATGTTCAAGAGTCAAACCTTTGCTCACACTGCGTCCAAGATTGTTGTTTCTGCGTAAAGGATCCACAACATTGAAATGCTTTGAAACAAAAGGTTGGTTGTGGTTTTCTTGACCACCTGGTGTGACAGAATATAATGCAGTACGGTTGTCAAGAAATCCCTTACTAAACAACAACTTCCCATTATCCTTTCGAGGAGGTTCCGCTGCACGATATTTAGATTTATAATGATATAGTATCAGACACTTTAGCTCCAACGTAGTATAGAAAAATAATCATAGACTCACCAGTCATATCTGGAAGTGAACTAATAGGAACCGGCCCCCATAGACTAATACAATAGTTATCCCAATCAAAGTTGCTAAAAAATTCTAGAAAACGATACAACACCTGTATAGGCAAAAATTAGAAATAATTATATAAAATTAATTTGACACGTATAGTACAAAGTCCACTAAAACAAAATTTAAGTCACCTCAAGAGGCCCAGCAAAAGAATTATTGAAGACATGAAATATGTAAAGAACCAAAGTCTCCAAGGCATATGTAGATATAAGTCCATGATGAGCACCCAGTATACGACTTTCATAGTAACACCAAGCCTTAATTAGTATAATACTTCGCTTGAAAAGATGATTTTGATTTATCACTTTGTCCATCTGTGAAAAAGAAGAAGGTTATGTGAAGCATAATTATAGATGAGGTTAAATGATTCCAAGAGTGGTATCAAAAAGAAGTTCTCAAGCACCGCATGCTAACCTCTTCAAGGAAGCAAAGGGTGCATAGTCCACCAACTTGATTGAAAGAGATGTCCACAACAATATTTTCAACAAGACACTTTATGAGTTTTACCTGTACAGGTTGAAAATAATATCTAAAAGAGTGTACTGGAAAAAGAAAGACATCAAAATCATCTTTGAACTCTATGCACAGATAAGTCTAGCCACATGCAAAAGCAAAATCTGTATCAGAATAAACAGGAAGAACAAGGCAAATAATTGACAAGCCGGTTGGCCAAAAAGACTGAAAACTCTGTAAATTAAAGTTCATCATGAGAGCATATTGGTCGATTTGCACAAATACAAGTTGGAAGTTCTGCAATCAAATTAACAGCAACATTATCTGAAAAACAGATTCCAATCTGAAAAATCCTAACCCAGATAACACAGCAAAACATAGAAATAATAATAGCATAAGAAAATACGATTAGGAAATGAGCCAGCATCCAAAATAGAATCATAAGAATAAAACAGGAGAAATTCCGACACACCTCTGCTTGGATGTATTTGACTTCTTTCACACGAAACTCGGCATTCTCACTCTTCTCTTCATTCTCTAATACACCACAAACAGTGGTAGCCCATGTATCCTTCAAATTTTCATTATCACTGAATGCAGTCAGGTCAATGTCTCCATCTGGTAAGTAGGTCTTAAGAGGTACCGACCCAAATGTGAAAACCTGAAACCCAATGTTTTACAAAAACTGACAAAATATAAAAGAGCAGAACTTGATTTTCTTGAGCAACTATGATCTGAGCACAGGAAGCAAATAGCACGTGAGGAAAACACTAACCCGGCAGGAGAGGCACTCTGTGATGAGCCGTTGGACATAGTTGGCTACAGCATTTCTGCGCTCCTCGGATGATTGATTGGGCTGAATCCGGGCAATCAGCTCTGCAGTTTGCTCCTCTGCATTGAACCATCTGTCGGCATCAAGCACTTGGGTCACCTTGGCTGTTTCCTCAGGCAAAAGGCCATTGGGCGGTAGGCAACTGGGCGGTTCCCAGCTTCCATGATCGCCCATGTGAAGCTTTTGTACAGTCGGTGCTCAATGCCGTCCTAAGTACTTCCTCACTCCCCTCTTCCAATGGAGAAAACTCAAATAACCGTTATGCGAACAAGTACAACTAAATGGAATGCACGAAGTAGCCACTAGAAATGAATTAGCAAAAAGGATGAGCCTTCCCTCAGATATTCAATCACGATGGACACAGAAACAACAAAAACCAAGTCCTTTTGCCACAACACCAAGAAATCAGCATCTAAAAGCGAAATTGACCAACCATCGTCTGCCACCGAGGTCTGATGAGCCTCTCCTACTGGAAAGATTCAACCTTTAACTGTTCCACTCGGTAATCCAAGAAAGGTAAGTCTATCACCCACAGAATAGGAAAAAAGGAACACCTTCCTTCCAAATTTACTCCGAATACCACGAGAGCGAAAAGAACAGGACGTCAGATCAAACTAAATCCGTGGCAAAACAGATGAATTCGACTCCTCCCCAATGCCCGATCGAGCCACACCCTAAACTCGAGTGACGTACCGACCGCCAGCAGGGAGCGGTCTGCAGCGAGATTCTCCCAATGCCGAGGAACTCGGGCGGCCGACCAAGGGGCAAGACCGTCCAGCTCCCATCAACCGCACAAACCCTAGAAGCAGAGGGGAAAGGCCGGAGAAGTCCCGAGCAAGATCGGGGAGAGAAAAATCCGAGCTTTGGGGCGCGAAAGGAATCTGGAGGCCAAGGTTCGAGCGACGGCTCCAAGGCTTTTGCAGGGATTTGAGGGAGGATCGAGGAAGCAAAGTGAGAGAAAGAAAGCGGAGAGAAAAGGAGAGGAAATGGGTGGAAGAGAGCGATCGGTGTTAGGGCACAAACCTCTTTCAAAACGGGGTTTTCATCTCGTTTACATATTTATAGAGAGAAAACAGTAAATGGTTTGGTGGTGAGCCTTTCGATCACCGTGTTGGGTTGATGTACGAAAGACAAATACTTTAGTCAATTCGACATCGAATTAATGATTGAAACGTATATGCAAGACTTCCCGAAGACACCATAAGTGGACGCCCCACCCGCATCAAACGGTGTTTGGGACGCAATGTGATGTGTGAATCGAGTGACCGAAGCCAAAAAGTCGTGATCGAACGTCTTCGATGTGGACCCAACGTTTGCTCCACCTTGTTGTTATTTAAGGTTTAATCTTCGCTGGTTAAGTTACAGTGAGGATTTTACGCATGTTATTCCCCATTATTATATGTTTTCATGCATTATAAATATGGTTGAGAGATTGGCTACATATATTCTTTCATTGTCAATTAACGACTTTTAGGTACGAGTAACCTAAGCCAATTTTAAGTAAATAATTCATGACTAAAAACTTTTAATATTTTGTTTTCATGATGAGCTTAAAAATATTAATATGATATGTAGTCTCAACCAATAAAGATAAACTACATGCATATATAAGTAAATTTTGATGTTGCATATGTTGAATTAAAAACTAGAGGGATGAATAAAATGTATCTGATTTTATAGGAATAAATACATGTAAATTTGCCTTATAGTAAAAATAGAATATTATTTATTCAGAAAGGAAGACACTTTTGGGATGAGAGAGCTTCAGGTGCAGTTGCAATGATCTAGCATTCAAATCAACCTGCTTATTGCTCAGAAGATGAAATCAAATGCAGAGCCTTCAACAGAAATTCTGCATCCAACATATGAGCTCCAAAGATTTACAAACACCTACTCGATTCAAAAGGCTTAATGGTTACATCAGAAAATGACAGCGGCATAAGCAGGGCGAGCTTCTTCCTTGAAGCACAAACACACTTTTACATATCAAAACATATAGTTTTCCCTGACTATTTCTTGTTTGGTAGGAAGAAATCGAATGTGACATCAACAGTGCCGGAAGTTTCTCCAGTGTCTTTGTACTCGATGTTTGATATTTTTCCACTGTAATCTTCTTCAGAATCTTGGTACCCAGGCCGCACACGCCGGACTGGAACAGTTACAGAGTAGATGGTACCAAGGTCTGTGTCAGTGGAGATGTTAAGTTGAACTTTGTCCTGTGAGTCAATCTCCACAAATTCGGATAGGGCTTCGATAACATTGCTTACAATCTTTTGCTTTGCTTCATCGCTGATATCACACCTATCAGAGAACAGTATCATCTTAAGCCTCTGCTTTGCGATGCTTGCATTAGAATTATTTCTCTCTTTTGTCGTGGGAAATAATATCCTCCATGCCAAACTAAGGCGGTCGAAGAAGCTCATGTTAACAACATTTAGAAGAAAGCCTTCTGCGTCTTGGTTTACTGTTGGTGATAGTTTGTTACCTCCCATCCCATGGCACACTTGGCTGTGTTTTACTGTACTACTGGCTGGTGATGCCGCTCGTAGCCATTTCTGCACAATTCTGAGGTCACTAGCTCCATTAGGGACACGACCAAAACGTATCTGCATTGTAACGAAACAGAAAATACTCGTCGATTATAAAGGACTAACGACAGAGAAAGATCCAAGATATGATAATCCGAGGGCGCAGCAACTATAGCTCCACATAACTCAAAATTCACCATGCAATAATAACTTCACTATGCTAGGAAAGGAATAAACCAATGATCCCATTTGCTTGAATGGTATTTTTTTTTAATTTGAATTTATGATAATTCATAATACCATCAATGTTGGTCTCAATGGAAGGCTACATTAGACCACTAACAAACAACGTCAAATAGTGTTATACTTCATAAGCATAAATCTTAACTATTTGAGCTCAATGGTGGGTGAAATTTAACAAGCCAACCTTAAGTATTTGGGATTGTATGGCTTGTCATTCTTGTTGTTTATTTATGATAATGTACAGGCAGACTGATACATAGGAAATAAATCAAATACTATATAAGTGTAGTTACAAGTGCTATTCAATGAAGATTTGCATGTCATTTTTCAGCAATTTTAATCAATGAGGATGTACATGCCAATTATCTCGTATTAAGCCCACAAACTTATGATAATATTTGTAATCCTTAAGCAGTTAGACATGCATACCATGCATGGCTAGGTAAATATCAAGACAACGGCCTAACAAACTCCAAAAACTGCTGACATGGAAGAATATTTATCAAGATTAGGAAATTGGTAAGATGAGTTGCCTAGTGGATAACTGAACCACGATGGCAATAAAATACTTTAGTGGCATCAGGTGACCATTTATTTCCATTTACTTTATAGTATCCATCAAGATTACAGAATTAACAAATGTTACCAAGGTAGGCAGAAAAACAAAGATACATGTTTAGAACTTGATGCTTAGAGAAGTGTGTTACAATTGAGAATATGCATATCAAGCATTTTAAGCAACAGGTCAAGTAAGCAAGAAAGAGATTTTGAGCATATATCTTGTTAAGGGGATGATGCTTGCAGTATCAATAACAAACAGCCTGGTCCAGTGGTCCAGATTGGAATAGTTGAAGTCTGACTTAAAAATACTCGATTTTGGGGAATCTAGCTGACCTCTGCCTATCCAGGTTAAGTATCAGCACCACTAGGGAAATTCTAACTAGTTCCAGTTGGAATTACTAATTCCAGATTACTTTCAGCCGATTCTGAGATTTCCAATGGAACCCATCATATATCTAGTTCTTTTTCCAAAAACCACAAACTGAATTAACCAAACCAGACTGAATTAAATCCTAAAATATGTCCAAGACATATCTTAACCCTTTCTTGTGGAACTTGAGACAACAACGCATATGTAACTTGTTATGAAAGATGATGCCTCTTCAAATATATAGACTTTCGTAGGGCAACATGTCGGTTGTCAGTTTATCAAGTCCATGAGGTAAACTCATGCCAACCAAACCAATAAAGATAGTCCTCAGTCCTCACACATGCTATTTATTATGAGTTGATTTGAAGGAGTTGGGATCAAGAGTTTCCACCTCTAGATAACAAAAATAATGAGTTCTGGATGAGGATGTTTGAGTGTTGTTAAAAGAAATGATAGAAGAATAATTTTATTAGGAAATATAGAACTCAAAGATACAAACAATGCACTAGTGATTAGTTGAAGGTAGAAACAGTAAAGGATAAGGAAATGTCAAGTTAGGTGTTCCAAAGGATCAGAGGGACAAAGAGAACTATGCAGTTGGAAAGTAATTCATATTAGGAAAGAAGTATCATAGGACGACAGGTGAACCGAAGAAGACCTGGAAGAAATAAGTGAGGAAAGGAATCACAAAGATGGCAATTCTATGGCATGATTTCTAAGTGTTATGATGCATCCAAGTCAAATTCAATGGATTAGAGTCCCGCAAATATGGTCCCAAAATCTACATGTTTGATGCCATGCTTGCGAATATAAAAATGTATGAACCGACTATATACTTGTTTTTAGCAATATAAAGTCAAGATTACCATAATCCATAACTTTCAATCTGAAGGAACAAAAGAACTCTGTATTGGCACAGCATGCAAATGTAGTGTGTAAACAAGCTACCAAATGATTATGCTAGTAGGTAAGCTCTGCTCAGGGAAATTTTTTATGTGGATGTCAATACACTTGTATTTAGATTGGAATTAAGTACATTATGCAACAAGTGGGATGCGGAAGTCAGTTGTGGTCAGCTCAGTAGGATACACAATTACTGGTTAATATTGTAGTTCATTTACCAGGACAAAAATAATTTTCTTTAAAAACTTAGACTTCAATTTAGCTTGTGTCAAGATGGTAATTATATTCCATTCACTTGATCGAACTAATATAGGCCCTCAGGTTGAATTGTCTAAGGAAGCTATCTATGGACCAGTTATGGCAATCTCTAAGATCATGGAACTTGACTTCAGCAGTTCAGCTCTCACCAAGCAGAAGTCACATTGTGACAGCCAGTTGGATCCATAAAGTGGAAATAGAGATTAGTTGAATTCAAAATTGTATGCTTTCAAATTTCGTGAATGACTTTATCCAAAACAAATGGCCTGCAGATCACCACTCTACCCCTCGAATGACCCACATGAGATGAAAGATGGGGATCATGATGAGTGACAACTTGAGGATGATGTATCAAGAAGTAATACAGACTCTACAACACAACCTTAAGGTTGATAATCTATATTAAGAAACTAATGATAACTAGAAGACTTTATGATGGCAAAACAAGATTATTTATGTAACACCCCATTTATTTTCACATCGAAAGTGAATTGAGATTAAGATTGACTTATAAGAATATGATGAGTGCACTACTACTAGGCTATGCCTCACATGCACCGTGCTAAGACTTGATAGGAGATTATAACACTCCGATTAGTTTCACATCCGAAGTAAGCTACGACTAATATTGACTTAGGCTCAACGAAAGGAGATGTCACAGGCCCACCTAGAATCTCCAATCGTCCAACATTATTACAAATCTACAATCGGCATCAATAGTTCGTTCATGAAATTTCTGATACTTGCAAATTCCTTGAATATAAACCACTAGATGTTCCACTTAAAACACAATGGCAATTAGCTAAAATGTTATATTTATCAGAATAGCAGCCGGCTGCTTGCAGAAGATGTTGGCGGAAACGTCTAGGAAATCTAACACTCATCATTAACACTTGTACACGGTTCCCTTCTGAATCATCAAAGAGACAGAAAGACGGTCTAATCTTCACAACTTGTGGAGGCGACGGACATCACCATTTGAGGTCAGCATCAGCTCCTTTTCTAAAATGCACTTACGCATTTCGAATTCAACGAATAATTCAGGAAATTTTAAATAAAAATATGTAATCGCAATCATTCTCACATATTTTTCCAGTAACAGAACCCAATCAGTAATTCGACAAGAGAAACTAAACCTAATCTCAAGTAAGAGGTACTCACAACAGCACCACTATGAAAA